GACTCAGGGTGATGGGGCAGCACATTGGTGGTGTAGAGGTATCATGTATCTATATACTTTGGAACACAGAACCAATCTAACTGAAAGCCAGAGATCTTAACTACAACAACAAAACTTAAACTCTGTCTGTCAAGGAGGAGGCAGGCTGAGAAAGAGCAGAGTTGGGGAAGGGGGGTGAGAACTGGAGACCAGTGGAGGAATGTAACACTGTTGATGGAATGTGTATCAGAACATGCATGCCTGAAACTCAATTATTAATTACTTGTAAATCAACTGGAGTGATAGCACAGTGATAGGGCATTTGCCTTGCATGCAGTCAACCCTACCGATCTGGATTCAATTTCTCCACCCCTCTCAGAGAGCCCTTCAAGCTACCAAGAGTATCTCGCCCGCACGGCAAAGCCTGGCAAGCTGCCCGTGACGTATTCGATATGCCAAACACAGTAACAACAAGTCTCACAATGGAGATATTACTGGGCCCGCTCAAGCAAATCAATGAACAATGGAAGAACAGTGACAGTGACAGTGTAAATCACAGTGCCTTAATAAGAAATCAAGGGGCTGGAGTGATAGTATAGCTGGTAGGGCATTTGCCTTGCATACAGCCAACATGGGTTCAATCCTCGGCATCCCATATGGTCCCCTGAGCACTGCCAGGAGTAGTTCCTGAGTGCAAAGCCAGGAGTAAGTAACCCTTATGCATTGTGGGGTATGACCCTAAAAACAAAAAGAAAAAAAAGAAATCAAGAAGGAAGATGAAAAAGAATATATGGTGTTTAGGGTGCAGAGATGGGACAGGAGCTCAGAGCACTTGACTTGCACACAGCCGACCTCGGTCCAGTCCAGTCAATCCCTGGCACCACATAGAGTCCCTGGTCACAGCCAGAAATGGACCCTGAGAACAGACCCAGGAGTACACCTTGAACACAGCCCCCTCGGTCACGATCACGGTCATGGTCCTCTTGTCGTTCATCGATTTGCTCGAGCGGGCCCAGTAACGTCTCCATTGGAGACTTTGTTGTTACTGTGTTTGGCATATCGAATACGTCGCGGGGAGCTTGCCAGGCTCTGCCGTGCGGGCGAGATACTCTCGGTAGCTTGCCGGGCTCTCCAAGAGGGGCAGAGGAATCGAACTCCGGTCGGCCATGTTGGCTGCGTGCAAGGCAAACACCCTACCCGCTGTGCTATCACTCCAGCCCCCTCATCTACTAGTATATGGTCTTTATTAATCAGCACATATCTTGATTTTTTGAATGTTTGGGTATTTAAAATCCAACTGTACTCATATCTGTATGCTAATACTGTTCAGCACTTAGCCCATTCATGGAATATCTTGGATTTCATAATGTGGGTGATCTGGCTGGCAGACTATTTTATTCATTTCTTATTTTACTACTGTCCAGGTATCATTTATAAGATAATATTTGGTTTTCCTGAATAGCATGCCTTCACATTTTTATTAGTAAATTATGGTGGTTTAAAGAACACAATGCTCAAATTCTTTCTGTCACCTTATTTTTCATTATATGGGGGGGAAAGCATAGAAAATCATCAACATTTATATAGATAACTATTATGGTTTGTACCTGGAACAAAATCTAAATTTTGGTTTGAGAAGAAAATATTGGGATGGAAAATTCATTCCTCTCCCTAGGCTCAGTGAATACTTTCTAAGCTGAATGAAAATATATCTCTTAATATATACATAAGGGCTATAAAATAAGGTATCTGTTTTTCAACCATCTCTTATAAAATTGAATGCAAAAGTGCTTTCCAGAGTCCAGAATTTACTTCTTGCTTTTGACTTTTGGTTTTTCACTTTTCAAGATATAAAGGTATTTCTACCAACTGCTCCAGTAGGAATTTAACCTTAGCTCCGATCCTCAGATTCCAATTTTTCATTCTTTTGTCTCTCATTGGTGATAATGAAGATATTTCAACTGGAATTCAGCAGTGACCGTAGAGACAATTAAGCTAAAGTCAAATTGGCTTTGCAGTGTTAGCAGAAGCTAAAATGTATTGACTGAGTCCCCCCAACCCCCATCCCATAATGAAATAAACCTCTGTGATTTACTGAGAGAACAGAATTCTGTTGATTAAGAAAGACTTTGTTGGGTGGGGACTAGAAAGAACTGAATATAAGAATTAAAAAATAAAATGCCCACTCTTGGGTGTACTCAGGATTTACTCCTGGCTCTGCACTCAGGGATCAGATGAGATACCTGGGAACAAACACAGGTCATGTGCAAAGTAAAGGCTCTACCTCTGTCTCTAACACTTAAAGTTTTACTTTTCTTTCTGGACTTTTTGTATAGAAACAAAAAATAGCAAATATTTGACCTAACCGATTAAATCTATTTAGGATATTCAAAATCTACCAATGGTTTGAAGGGAAAATATACTTAGTCTTTAAGTAATGTTTGAATTAACAGTATTTGTGGGAATGCATTTTTATACAATTAGGTAAGAGCCAATCTTTTAATATAAAATAATGTGCTCTTTCTCTCTCTTCTCTCTATCTCTCCCTCTCTCAAACACACACACATACACACACACACAAACACACACATTCACACACAGAGGGAGTGAAGTACTATGGTAACCCTGCATGTCTGCTAAAACTTGTCATTCGGTGGCATGGCATTATGGTAGAGAAACCAAGATATCCCCCAAAGTAATGGAAGTAAAAAGTGCCAGAGAATTAGGTCATGAACTGAGAAAACATTTCTTTGATGGACATTAAAGTTGCTGTTGTTTTCTGCGAGTTTCTCTCATTTCAGCAGAAAGTATTGCCCAAAGAGAAAGGCAGAGACAGGCTTCATCCAGCCTTATATTTCAAAATTATTAGAATTATCAAGTTTGGAAGGTTTTATGTGATCAAAGATGAAAAGAGCTAAAAGAAATGGGTTTTTTAAATATTTTAATGAAAGGGTATAATTGTGTTAACTAAGCCTCTATTTGTACTTATGATTTACTCTGACTGAATGATTATAAATCATCTTTTAGCTGGTCCAAGGATTAGAAACCCATTAGCTAGTAGTGTATAATAAATAAGATGATCTCATTTTCCACTTGTGGTGAATAAGCTGCAGTTCTGAAACAAATCCCCACCATATCATTTTTAACATTTATTGAGTTTCATAAACTTGTTCACAATATTTGATTACATCTAATATTTGAACATAATCCCACCACCATTACACCTTCACACCACCATATTTCCATCTCAAACCCCAACTCCTGCCCCCAAAGCAGAACTGAAATAATTTATTTTGTATTGCTTGTTATGAATAATCTGCTAAAATGATCTAAAAAAGTTTTCTTAGAGGAAAGTTTGTGAAGATTGTTGTATTTCACCCAGGAGCCATTAAGCCCTTCTATAAGAGATTAGTAACATGTTGTTAAAGGTTGAGCCTTGCGTGCTTATATCTGAATCTGTATAAATATATTTCCCCCTAAGATTGGTTTCCTTGTACTTTAAACCCCATCAAATGTGGTGTGCTACTCTTGGAGTATTAGTGATGTAAAGTATGAGATGTCCAGGAATAGATTCACTCCTTGGAGAGTCTTGTCTGAGTGTGCAGAGTACGGCCATAAGCTCAGTGGAGGTTGAGTTCTGGAGGTTTTTGGCTACTGGTACTGGCTTGGTTGTGGTGGGAAGTATCCTCACCCAGCCCCCTCTGCATTGCCCGAAATGAAATAGCCTGGCATGAGGTATGGAGGCATGGCTATGGTGTATTGTTCTGTTCTCTCTTCCTAGAGATTTACTATTGTGTCTCTGGATCATGACCGTTAGTGAGATGATATGGTGCCAGTGGCAGCTTGAACCACCATATCTTATTTTCTAGGATGATGCTAAGAATTGTACTGATGTCTAAAAAAATATAATAGCATAACTAAATTTTCCTATAATTAGATTATAAATTCTCTTGTCATACTTGAGTTATTCCTCTAACTCATCAGTGGATGAGACCTCAGTGAAAGCATGGGTAGACCAGTTGGACACTCCAAAGTCAAGATTGAACAAGGAATTTCACATGTGCATGAAGCTCAGGAACAAAAATAACAAAACTTTTCCTCCGCCTTCTCTCCTCCCCCTCTCCATCTCTATTGGTCCTTCTCAACCTTTCGGTGTTCAGAGCTTACTCCTGGCACTCTGCTCAGAGATCATACACCTTTCTGAGTATTGAACCTGGACCAGGCATATGTACACCAAATAGTCCAACCACGGTACTATCTCTCTGGCCCTGATACCCTAGTCTCTCTCTCTTTATTTTGTTTTTGGATCACACCTGGCGATGCACAGGTGTTACTCCTGTCTCTGCACTCAGGAATTAACTCTGGTGATGCTCAGGATTAATCCAACCATATGGGATGTTGGGAATGGAACCCAGGTCAGCTGCATGCAAGGTAAATGCCCTATCCGCTGTGCTATCACTCCAGCCTCTAGCCTAGTCTCTCAAGGTTCAATTATCTATAAGCTCTGGATATCACCATAAAGATCACTGAAATGTAGCAGAATTGTTTAAAAAATAGAAAAATAAGCAAAACATCAAATTCTGCATTCTGAGTACCTTCTTTCTTATGTCAATGAAATGCAAGTTGGTGAGAAAATGCATATGTAAGTATCAACCTCATAAAAGAAAAGCATTAAAATATCATTATACCTTAGAGATTTTAAATTTCTGCTTTTGAAAAGTAAACAGATTGCAAAGATAAACTCGAGCTTGAAATACATAAATCATAATGGAATTTTTATTACTATTAAAATATAAGTGAGATTATGGACTGCTGTTGTCTTCCGTGACCACTCATTTTTAGTAATTCCCATAAAAATACACTGAAAGACACATGACAGTCCCAAAAGCACAATGGAAAAGAAGAAAAATTACTTTTCTCATTTTTTCTGTGCAGACATCCACCGGAGTCAGTTATACTTCACATGGAATGGCACCATACAGAAACCAAACTAAAATCTTATTTTTTTTCCCTTTTCTTAGGGGCCGATGTTATCAACTTTGATGGCCATGTGGTGTTACCATACAGATTCAGAAACAAAAAGATGAAAACCCTGAAGGATGTCATTGCTTTGAAATTTAAGACCTCGGAAAGTGAAGGGGTGCTCTTACATGGAGAAGGACAGCAAGGGGATTATATCACTCTGGAACTGAAAAAAGCCAAGCTAGTCTTCAGTTTAAACCTAGGTATGTTGTGACCTTGGGCATTATTCTTTATATTTATTTTTACCCACATTAATAAAATGTACTGATCAATCTTTCAAATGCAAAATATGTTGGGGATTAATTTTCGCCAGACTACATGATAGTTATTAAACTATATATTCATACAAAAGTATTTATTCAGGCATTTGGAATGTGTAACTTGCTAAGCCAGCATCAGGGGAACTTTCAGGAGTAAATAGAGATGATTGCTGAGTTCATGACATTTCTGCCTTCTTGGACAAGTAAAAGAATATACTATCGTTGACTATTACGTTGAAAACAACCAAGTCAAGGAAATGTGTTGAAATAATATAGAACTCAAATGGCTTCATTGTGGTAAAGAATACTGCAGAGGCATGAAACAACAAGATTAGCACATATAGTGGGAAAAACACTGAGGAGAAGATATTTAGGTTGCAATCTCAGTGATTACAAAATATAGCCAATGAGTGGGAGGGGAGAGAAGGTGGAGAGACAGTCAAGTCAGATGCAAGGTGAAATCCAACAGTTAGGTGATAGCCAGAACTTTAAAATTACTGGATGGGGCAAAAGTTATAGCTTTAATTCTAAGCATGAGGAGCAATTAGTAATATTTTTCTGGCATCAGGATTTTTTTTTAATGAGGGGGAAGAGGATAAAGGAAACAAAAGTGGACTGAGGAGGAGGGATATCAGAAGATTTGTAATAGTGGTGGTGTTGTGGTGATATATACTTTGAATAAATGTAAAATTATACCTTCCCCAAATGAATGCAGTTCTGTAAGGTAATACTATTTCAGCATCAATGCACAGAAATCATTTACTGAGACTTTGTAAGAGAAAATGCCTCTCCCCACCTAAAGATAAACATTCTTATCATCAGAGATACAGGTCTGCATAGGAGATCACTTTTGCAATAAATTTATTGTGTTGTGTAACAGAATAAGAAGGAAATATATGGAATACTACCAGAGTATATATAGATTGAGCTTTAACTAGATACTAGGACCGTCTTCAAACACAAAAATTTCCATTTTCTCTTAGAGCTACAGCAGAAGATTAGTTTTTCTAATGAACAAACCCTAGCCACCTGTTGACTAGTCGTCACGTGAGGATGCCTGTTAGGGTCTAGCATGCATGAGATTTGTCAGAAGGGATGCTCTGGTGGGCAACAAAAATTAGACTGTAATTATGGAGAATTAAGAAGATATTGGGGCCGGAGTGATAATAGAACACATAGGGTGTTTGCCTTGCACGTGATGGACCACAGTTTGGTCCCTGCTCCCACATGCGGTTCCCTGAGCCCTGCTAGGAGTGATTCCTAAGTGCCCAGCCAGTAGTAAACCCTGAGTGTGACCCCCAAACAAATAAACACAAGAACCCAAACAAACAAATAAACCAAAAGGAATCTGTGTTAGAGATTATAAAATAGATCCGCTCTGTTCCATACTCCCAAATGCCTCCTGGATGGTGACAGAAAAGGGAAAACAAAGATGTTGCTGGTAGATGTGAGGGCAGCCTGTCTGCAAGAATTGCCACCCCACTAATCAGCAGGGTTGATTCTCCTTCCTCAGCACTCCATGTGCGTCCCTACTGAAGTTGGATGCTTGCTCTAGGAGGACAGCCTTCCCCAGACAGTCGTACCATTCTTTAGTCGGGGATACATGATGGTGCTGCTGATTCAAACTCAATGGAATAAGTGTCGCCTCTGTTTTATTGTCCTAGGTTAAGTCACTGTGAATGATGCAGCACAACTCACTAGAAATGAAGGAATCAGAGTGGTGCTCATGTTTCTCAATGTGGCACGTGTCTGATATTAACGTTCACTATTTAGCCATCAATAGAGTGCTACAAAATAAAGCTGAGATTTGTTCTGTGTTCCTAACGCTTGATTTCGTGTTCTCGAAGATTTACCCTTTATATTATAAAGCTGCTGTCATTCAAAACCCGATTCTATGGAAATAAACAGCTTCACCATGAAGAAAAGAAAGAAGAGATTCACACGAAAATGGGTTGTAATAACACAAGCTAATGCTTTTCAACGTCAAAGTAATCATAAAATTAAAATGCGTACCTGAACTTGGAAGACTAAAAATGTCAGATTTAGGCATTTAATGATATTCATGAATAAGAAAGCACTCCGTAAGACTAGCAATCTTTTAAGAGAAAATATAGACAAAGGACATAAAGGATAACCTGGGGGAAATTACATATGTATAGATATGTATATAAGCGTGTGTGCATGCTACAAAAACTAAATGTTCAGCCTGCATATGTATATATAAAATATATATGAAATACATATATACAATATACAATATAATATATAATATATACATTTCATATATATATATAAATACACACTATAATAGAATCCCAAGTCTTTGCAAGTAAGACAGTTTAAGGTGATAGTTTTACCAAAAGAGAATAGGTGAAAAAAAAATGTTTTCGCTATTCTGTTTATCACAGAATATTATCAGGAAAATAATTTTTAATATATACAGACATTTAAAATTGTTTATGCAACTCGGTTCATTAATTTTAAGGAAAAAATGAGAAATGACTACAACCTTTATGTGCCAGAATGTACAATTTCCATATTAATTACATTGAAAAATGCATACGGGAATGGGAAAGCTAAATGTGTGGAAATATGCTGATATACATTCTGCATGTGGGTGAATAATTTTAGTTAAGAGAGAAATGTTAAGTGACCATATATAAAACTGTAGGTTACATAATACTGTAACAAATATATTAGTGTTTTCATATCATACACGTATGTCACATGTTTATAGTAAATGTATAGCCATTTGGGCTGGAGCAATAGCACAGCAGTAGGCATTTGCTTTGCATGCAGCCAGCCCAGCAGAGCCGGGTTCGATTCTTCCGCCTCTCTCAGAGAGCCTTGCAAGCTACTGAGAGTATCTCCCCGCATGGCAAAGCCTGGAAAGCTACCCGTGATATATCCAATATGCCAAACACAGTAACAACAAGTCTCAAAATGGAGACGTTACTGGGCCCGCTTGAGCAAATCAATGAAAACAGGAGGACAGTGACAGTGATAGTATATCCATTTACAGGAAAGAAGGCCTAGAAGAAAATGCATGACACTGTTTCTAATAGTGGAAACAGTAGCCAATATTTTGATTATTATTTCTTTACAAATAAATTATTTTTTTCTTTTTGGGTCACACCTGGCAATACAGAGGGGTTACTCCTGGCTTTGCACTCAGGAATTACCCCTGGCAGTAGTAAGGAGACAATAAGGGATGCTGGGAATCAAACCCAGGTCAGCCGCATGCAAGGCAAACACCCTACCTGCTGTACTGTCGCTCCAGCCCCAATATTTCTTATTTAATAGTGAACATGTATTTGTGTATTACTTTGAGAGAAGTTGACCTAAATAGTTGTATTGCCCAGTTAGAATGTAAGAAGAAGGATAGATTAGGGTGGGGAATTTAATAGTTTATTTAGTGTACCCTCTCCATTAGGATTATATTTAATAAGTTTATTTTTTCAAATTTTTCTCTTTTTGTTTGAGAAAAGAGCCATGAATACTTTTCAAAAATCTCTGTGCTGTATAAACTTGTAACATTAATGTTCTGGAACAGTCATTGATCAGATAACCTCACAGGAAACTTCATTTCACTGGAAAACAGTTTCCTTACAGAGGTTTTTTGTTTTTTGTTTTCTTTTTGGGTCATACCCGGTGATGCACAGGGGTTACTCCTGGCTCATGTACTCAGGAGTTACTCCTGGCGGTGCTCAGGGGACCATATGGGATGCTGGGAATCAAACCCGGGTCGGCCGTGTGCAAGGCAAACGCCCTACCCGCTGTGCTCTCTCTCCAGCCCCTCCTTACAGAGTTTTATGGGCTAAATTAATCTACTTCTTTAGCTGTGAAGATGCAAAAAATAGATGGTACTCAGATGTCCATTCACCCTCATATACTCTGTCATCTACTGCAAAAAGAATTGACTTTGTAGTTTAGTCTTTCACGAAGATTTGTTCTTATTTTCTCTCCTTTTCACACTTCCCTCACCCCCACACAAATATGCAATCCCAATCAAACTCACATACAAAAATTTGAATCAGTCAGGAAAACAAAATAAAAGGTCAGCTGGATAGACAGTAGAAAATGCCAAATATCGCATCCTAGCATCCCAGTGTTGAAAAAATATTTCAGTGAGTAGGGTATCGCTCTTCTTTCTATTATGCTGTTTATTCTGAAATGTATCAGGGTTCTCCCATTGTTCATCAATTTGCTCGAGCGGGCCCAGTAACGCCTCCATCGTGAGACTTGTTGTTACTGTGTTTAGCATATCAAATATGTCACGGGTAGCTTGCCAGGCTTTGCCGTGCAGGCGAAATACTCTTGGTAGCTTGCCAGGCTCTCCAAGAGGGGCGAGGAATCGAACCCGGCTCAGCCGGGCCAGCTGTGCGCAAGGCAAACACCCTATCTCTGTGCTATCGCAGGGCTATTCGGGTAGGGTGTTTGTATTCTGAAATAACCTTATATTTTATAGAATTTATATATTTTTCTGAACATTTTGTAAAAAAAGAAAAACACAGGAGCTGATTACACAAAAAAGAAAAGTGATAAAATATTGAATCAGCGTAAAGAGACATCCTGGGTAGAAATTTTGCATTCTCACAACCTTTCGCTCTTGTTCTGGAGACCTGTCAAATTCAGACGATAGCTATGTATATAATTTTGCAGGTTTTATTTGAAAGTATTACATCAGTAAATTTTCCATGTCGTTAAGTATGACATTATACTTAAGATTATGGCTTCCGGAGTTAGAGAAAACTGAAATTATGACACTTTGGCTTTCTTGACCAATAACACCAATAATAACAAAAGTCTTAGTCAGGTAGTGGAAGAGTACTCACATAATGAGAAGGATTAAGCTGAGATCTTTGCATGAGCTTATAGGTTTGTCCTTCGGCAATCTTGTAGAGAAGGTGCAATTTTTTCCTTCTTTCCTTTATGAAGAGCGGAGTCCCAGAGATGTTTTCAGCTCACCAAGATCACAGAAAAGGCCGATATCAGAAAATAGCTTCTCTAACTTCATAGCCTGTGATCTAAGATTCTGTATTCTTAGAAAAATCTACCCAATTTTATAAGAATATACATAATTGAGCAGAATCGGTAGTATGGTAACAAAAATAAAGTTTATTTTTCTTTTTAAGGTAGTATACTTTTCCCCCATCTTCGGTCACTTTTATTTTCATTGGATGTAAACCTTGAGGCAGATGTTGGGTTTTGTCCATATCAGCTTGAAGGATAGAGCTTTGGAGGACCGTTGTCAGAGGTGCATCCGTGAAAGGAAACCGTCAGTGGGAGTTGGGGAGTCATTGTTTCTCTCTCTTCCTGATTTAGGAAGCAACCAGCTTGGTCCCATTTACGGGCATACGTCTGTGATGACCGGAAGTCTGCTGGATGATCACCACTGGCACTCCGTGGTCATCGAGCGCCAGGGAAGGAGCATCAACCTCACCCTGGACAGGAGCATGCAACACTTCCGCACCAATGGGGAGTTCGACTACCTGGACTTGGACTATGAGGTAAACTGGTCCATTGCATTGATCATTTAGGTCCCACCTCTCTCCCCTCCTCCATCGTCTGTCATATTGTTAATGAGAGATTTTCCCACATCAGGATCACTTTATTTATTTATTTAATTATTTTGCTTCTTTGGGTCACACCTGGCAATGCACAGGAGTTACTCCTGGCTCTACACTCAGGAATTACTCCTGGCAGTGCTCAGAAGACCATATGGAATGCTAGGAATCGAACCCGTGTTGGCTACTTGCAAGGCAAACGTCCTACCTGCTGTGCTATCCTCCAGCCCCAGGATCACTTGATCAAATGCCCAAGAAACATTATCTTTCAACTCCAGTGTTTGCTGGCATAGACGTGTATTCTATTAAAAAAATTGACATTTTATTATCTGCTCAATTTTTACTCTTGAGTTTCTGAAACATGAAAGACGATCTTGGTGTCAAGTAACAAGTAGACAACAGTTGACAGGGAGAACTTCTGGTTTCACTGGAACCATTTGGTTAGTCCAGTATAAACTTATTATCTGACACCAGTAGGTAATTATATGTGTTAGTTGATCTTGATCATGTAATGGTATTACAGGCATAGGGTTGTTCAGTATTTACTATAAAAACTTTGAATGGGAATTTTCAAATTCTGACTTAAATTACTTATGAATAGTGACCATAGATTATTCTTTGGACACACTTCATTTTCTTATAGTTGTCATGAAGGAAAATAAAATATGGACTTAAAAAAAGAAACTCTCCATAAGTTATTTGACATTTTTGCCTTGCAAATGATTGGACTATTCAGGGGTTGGAGCAATAGCACAGAGGGTAGAACGTTTGACTTGCACACGGTCGACCCGGGTTTGATTCCCAGCAACCCATATGGTCCCCTGATCATCACAAATGATTGAAATATTCAGGGATCATATATGCATAGGATATGTATATGATCTGTATATATTATGTATGGTATTTAAGTGATAGCACAGCGGTAGGGCGTTTGCCTTGCACGCAGTCAACATGGCTGACCCAAGTTCGATTCCTCTGCCTCTCTCAGAGAACCCTGCAAGCTACCAAGAGTATCTCACCCGCACAGCAGAGCCTGGCAAGCTCCCCATGATGTATTCGATATGCCAGACACAGTAACAACAAAGTCTCCAATGGAGACGTTACTGGGCCCGCTCGAGCAAATCGATGATCAACGGGAGGGCCTTTACTTTACTTACTTTTTATATTATGTGTGATATATATGTGAAATATAATATATGTAATATATATGATGCGTATATACACATATATACATTAGTCCTATAAAAAGACATACAATATTCTGGTGGGCATATAAGCTTATGGAATAAGTAATTGAAGGAAATTGACTCTTAATATACTGCCAAATTTTTTTTGCATATCAGAATAAGAGTTTCATAATATGATTTCTCTAACGATACTACATATTTTAAGAGAAAACAGCACTGAATAAAGGAAAATAAAATTTTTTAAAGTTAAAATACTGTTTATTCCAAGTTGTATAGACATTTTAAATTCATGGATCCATTAGCATCTAATTTTAGCTTAATAGGCCCAGATCATTCCCTACCATAGATTAAGACAGCATATAAATGTTTATGTCCCAAGTAAACTGACATTTTTCAAATGTCAGTCATTTGAAAAAAGTGCACATAAAATTATAAAATAGTTCTTAAAATAGTAATAATTACTAATGGAAGAGCACAGCTGTACAGCACAAACCTGCTGGCTGTGCAGGTAGTTCCAATACTGATATTATCACTTTCTTTCACTTACTCATATTCATGTGACACTGTTTAATCAGAGCAGCATCCCAAATCCAACCTTATAAACTCAGAGTGACATCAAAAGCAACAGAGCAGCATGTCAAAACAGTGAAGGATTGTCATCTCAAGCTCCAGTCTCATACTTTGTTCACAAGATGTCAAGTGTCATTGTGTGACCTGAAAATACAGAGTTCATGGTGGCACCCCATGGCTTACTGGGCCAAGACATGTGTCTCAGCACTCAATTTTGACATTGCAAATGTATGGGTGTATGACTTTATGTGTGTGTGTGTGTGCATATATATATATATATATATATATATATATATATATATATATTCAGAATAGTCTTTTCATAAAACAACAATAAGTGACAGTCAGGATTTATATTTTCTTATTGTAACGTATTTTAATTGTGTCAAAAATTTCTGTAGTGCTAATATATTGCATATCTAAATAATTTAGTAAAATAGCTAGTTAGACTAGATTTTACTGTATAATCCCTGGTATGGATACTTTCTGATCATTAAAATAAATTTAAGGTTATCAGAAAATAATTGCCCACCACCCTGAATAATAGTTCTTTATATATCCTTTATACTTTCAAATTAATGTGTGTTTTTGTTTGTTACTCAGAGATGGATGCCAAAAAGTGGTATCTCTCAGTTGGTCAGTTAGTTCTATTTCTATATTTTGGCTCTATGTCCATATTGCTTTTCGTAAAGGCTGAAGCAGATGACATTCATACCCACAGTGGATGAGGGATCTTTTATATCACAATGTCCTCTATGTACATCACTGCACTTTTACAATTTCCAAGAAATGGAAATAATCCAAATGCCAAAATATAAATGAATGCCTCTATGGCAGACAATTCCCTGTCTCTGTCTCTGTCTCTTCCCCATCATCTTCCCCTTTTTTTGTAGTGATTTTTTTTTAAAAAAATTATTAGTGAAACACCATGAGGTACAGTTGTAGGCTTACAAATTTTTGTGCTTGGGTTTCAATTATACAATGATCAAATACCCATCCCTCCACCAATGCCCATTTTCCACCACCACGGGTCCCAGTATCCCTCCCACCCACCCTCCCCCATCCCCCATCCCACCCTGCCTCTGTGGCAGGGCATTCCCTTTTGTTCTCTCTCTCTCCTTTTGGGTCCTGTGGTTTGCAAGAGAGGCACTGAGTGGCAATCATGTTTGGTCTATAGTCTACTTTCAGCATGCTTCTCCCATCCTGGGAGGATCCTCCCAACACCCTTTATTTGGTGCTCCCTTCTCTATCTGAGCTGCCCTTTCCCCTAGCATGTGTGGCTGGCCTCGAAGCCATAGAGTAAACCTCCTGGTACTAATCCTGGCCACTCTTGGGTGTTAGTCTCCTATTTTGTTACTTTATGTTCCCCGGATGAATGCAATCTTTGTCTGTTCCTTTCTTTCTGACTCATTTCACTTAGCACGATACTTTCCATGTAGTACCACATGTATGTAAATTTCATGACTTCATCTTTTCTAACAGCTACGTAGTACTCTATTGTGTAGATGTACCAAAGTTTCTTTAACCAGTCATCTGTTCTCGGGCACTCAGGTTTTTTCCATATTCTGGCTATTGTAATGAACAAACAATTGCAGATGTCACTTCGACTATACCTTTTTGCCTCTCTGGGATATATTCCCAGGAGTGCTATAGCTGGGTCCAATGGTAGATCAAATTCTAATTTTTTGAGAATCGTCCATACTGTTTTCCAAAAGGGTTGGACCAGCCGGCATTCCCACCAGCAGTGAAGGAGGGTCCCTTTCTCGCCACATCCGTGCCAGCATCGGTTGCTTTTGTTCTTTTGGATGTGGGCCAGTTTCTGTGGTGTGAGATGATATCTCATTGTGGTTTTGATCTGCATCTCCCTGATGATTAATGATGTAGAGCATTTTCTCATGTGCCTTTTAGCCATTTGGATTTCTTCTTTGAGAAAGTTCATCTCCCCTTTTGGGTATTATGGTTTGCAGATTTCTTAAAAGGTGACATAAAGAGGCCACAGAAGAATAAACCATAACTTCAGTATTAGGTACATCAATGTAAAACCCAAGACATTCATTCCAGAGCTACTTAAAAATACTTTTCCCATTAATATCCTCATTATTGGTCTTATTTCCCAAAATTTTATGAAAAATCATGAATAGTAAATTTAATAGTTAAGGGATATAACATCTGGGGTTTGAAGAGATAATACAACAGTCAGCAAAGTGCTCATAGTGCAGGTAAAAAAAGAAGAAAAAAATACAACAGTCAGAGTACTTGTCTTACACATAGCTTACCGGGGTTCAATCTCTAATATCACATATGGTCTCCAGAGCACTGAGAAATGTCTGAGCACTGAGCCAGGAGAACTACAGGGTGTTCCCTGTCCCCTTCTTAAAAATTATACATATGAAATGTAGATATAATTTATAATTATATTCACTTATGACGTATTCATTATCAGTCATAAATGTCATTTTTGAAATATGTATTTATGTTTATGTGTATATATTTACACATTCTTTTGTAATATGAGATTGATAATACAAAAATGCAATTTGACCAATGATATACGGGAAAATATGTACTTTTTATGTGCAATAATAGCTACAAATTTTTAGGAAAGAACATTGAGCTTATGCCTTAGGATATAAGCGACCTTTAATATTTTTATGCCATGCTTTTCAAATTATACCTCTGAAGTCCTAGGATGTGCATATCAATATATTAATGGGAGTTCTGGACTATTTTCTTATATTCAAAGTATGCTTAATGGTGTTTTTACTTTAATAATCACTGATCGCAAGTATTCATAGGATAAATAAAGGAATACAGTATTCCTTGATTTCAGCTATAGTTTTTTTTTAATTTACTATATATAATTCTGGCTATATCATACTGGCTAGGAACATTCATTGAGTATAAGCCTTTGAATGATAAGAATAAAGAATTAATTTTAAGACTGTATAAAAGTCTAAAAATTTTAAAAGATCCTTGTGAGGTTTCAAAAATGCATGGGATTATTACAATATATTATTTATCCAAGTTATAATCCAACTTCTAGATATATTGAAATGACAGTTTCTTCAATAGTCTCATAACTGGCTTTACACATACTTTAGAGTGATAAAAATATCTGAATATATAGTTTTTAGTAAAGATAAATGAAATTATGGGAGTTGGAGTGATAATCAACCTGGGTAGGGCACTTACCTGGTATATCCCAGCTCAAGTTCATCCCTAGGCTCCACATATAGTCCCTTGAGCACAGCCAGGAGTGATCCCTGAGCACAGAGCTAGGAGTAAGCCCTGAGCACTACCAGATATGACCTCCAAAATTCAAACCAAACTACAACAACAATAAGAAAAAAAAAAGATAAACCCGCTTGGATGAATCATCAGCCTTGCTTCGTTTTTCATGTATTCACATTAAATAGTCACTTTCCAAAGCCAAACCCGAAACGAGTGGTTTTATTTCATTCTTTACCCCATAGATTACCTTCGGAGGCATCCCTTTCTCTGGGAAGCCGAGTTCCAGCAGCAGGAAGAACTTCAAAGGTTGCATGGAGAGTGTCAACTACAACGGCATCAACATCACTGACCTGGCAAGAAGGAAGAAGCTGGAGCCCTCCAACGTGGTAAGATTTTCCAATGCGCAGAATCATCTAAGATTTCAGGAAAAAGTAGACTGTCCGCTTCCTGAGTATTGTACGACTGCCCCCACATTAGAGTATTTTCCATCTACAATGTAAAAACTTAACAATCTGAAAGCATGGGGATACTGGATCTATTCTGAAGAGAGTGACTTTTTAATAAATGAGCTTGAAATTGATTTTGAATGGGACGCAAACGCAGTTCAGCGTGTGTGGTTTCTGCTGGCAGAGAACTAGGCAGCCTTCTGGGTGGGCTTTCTCCATGGCTGACAGAAGTCCTATTGCCAAGCACTCTTGGAAATTGCTGCAGAGATGCTTGAGGGACCTTGTGGAGGTTGGGATCTCCAGCCCTTTGAGCTATCTCTCTGGGTCAGAATGCCAATAACTAGTTCTTTCTGCATCAGAGCGCTAGTACAGATGGTAGGGTGTTTGCCATGCACCCAGCCCACCTGGGTTCCATTCAGCATATTACATGATTTCTTTGAGACCCACCAGGAGGGATCCCTGAGCTCAGAGCCTTTTATCTTCAGGTGTGTCTATTAGTTATACAAAATACACAACATTTCACTGTGGAGGTTTATCCCCAAATTTACTTGTGTTTCAAAATACATTACAGTTAAAATATTTTAAATTGAATAACAAAGATACTTAGCGATTTATACATTACATACTTTTTTTCCAAATTGGATGAGTCAAAATAATTAGTATCAAAACAAAAGTATATATGCATGTTAAACATTAGAAAAAGAATATAGGCCAGTAAGATATTGCATGAGTAACTGCCCATAGGCAGTTTAATTGCTTAGGGTTAAAATCACCTTTAAATATCTGAAATGCTTTAATTTTCCTGATATTTCAGTAGTCATCCTGTTTTTCTATAAACCTGCACGCGCACACACACACACTCACATTCTATGTTGTGTCATACATTGACTCTGAAGTTAGTACCATTCCTCAGAAAGGATCTTTAATTTGGTTGGGCAATAATTTATATGATATAGTTATGTGGTCTGTTATAAAATATCAGTTATTCTGTATGCAGAGCAAATTCTTTCCTTCAGTAAAAGAAAACATTTAAAAATAATCAGCTGTGAAGGTCCAGTGCAAGTTTAATTTTAATATTAATTCAAGGAGACAGCCTATCTGAGGCTGAATGAGGATTTTGTTGCAGTGGAAAACAGTGTATTTAGGTAGAGATATATGGTGTTATAAAATAAAATTGAAAGATCTAATAAAAGTGCTATAAATTATATTCTTCAAAATGTGGTGGGATAAAAAATGTCCGAAGCAAGTTAGATTTTTCAGATCTCTAAAAGGTAGGTAGATGCTAGAATACAACAATTACCTGTCACTGTCACTGTCCTCCCGTTGTTCATCGATTTGCTCGAGCGGGCCCAGTAACGTCTCCATTGGAGACTTTGTTGTTACTGTGTTTGGCATCTCGAATACGTCACAGGGAGCATGCCAGGCTCTGCCGTGAAGGCGAGATACACAACAATTAGTGTATCTAAATGCTAGGTCAATTTGTCTTTTTACTGAATGGAATATAACAGAATGAAGAAGACTTCTTAGGGAAATTTAAATAGAGTTTTTAATAGGATGAAAAAAATGATAGTCATAGTGCTACTGATGTTATTATAACATCATATGTTAACATATAAGGTTGATATGAATGCCCATAGTTACACAAGGAACGGAAATCAAGATCTGCTTTGTAATTGTGCTTTCATGAATAGTAACCCAATGATTAGAGCTCTGCCTGAGATCACTCCTGCATTATTGACATTTGACACTGGCATGTGAACTGGCCAGTAAGGCATCATTGTCAATGCATCATCCCTTGGAGAGTGAGGAAGCAGCAACTTTGGTGTATTCAGCAAAGTGTTCATTCTACCGATTCCCTACATGAGCCATCTTCTATACTGTTAGTTTTTCAATTCTGGGATGGATGGTCCTCGGTACAGCCTATGGCCGGTTGCTGCAACCTCCAGGGTACAATGACCACGTAGATTCCTGCCAAGATATCTAGTTACTGAATTCAGATTCCCCTGATCTCTATGCAAGTTGGACACAAGCCCAAGATTTTTCTGAAATAGGTAGAGCTGTAGCTTTCTACTAATCCATTAGGTTGATGCTGAGTTTGTTCTGTCTGTGTCTTAAAGTATGCTCTTGTGTTTCATAGGGAAATCTGAGTTTCTCCTGTGTGGAACCCTACACAGTTCCTGTCTTTTTCAATGCAACCAGCTACTTGGAAGTGCCAGGACGACTCAACCAGGACTTGTTTTCAGTGAGTTTCCAGTTCCGAACTTGGAATCCCAATGGGCTCCTGCTTTTCAGTCACTTTGCTGAGAACTTGGGCAATGTGGAGATCGACCTCACGGAAAGCAAAGTTGGTGTTCACATTAACGTCACACAGAACAAGATGAGCCAAACGGATATTTCGTCAGGTCAGTGAGACTATATATTTCCTCTGGTAGTTGCTGTTGTCATTTTCCCCGTGAAGGTGTATGTGTTTTCTCTGTTGGTTCTTCTCATTCCTGATGATGTTCAGATGCAGACTTTTGAGATACCAGCTTGGCTGTGCTAGGTTCTGATTGAACTGTGGAATTTGGGAATTGGGAAATTTGCTGAATATGTGATGGGTTGGTGATGACAAAATTTGATAGTGTCTTTTAGCACTAAATTTAGTTTATAATTAAAATAGCGATGGATCGGGGCGGGAGTGATAGTGAAACTCGTAGCACATTTGCCTTGCATGTGGCCAACCCTGGTTCAATCCCCAGCATCCCATATGGTCCCCTGAGCACTGCCAGGAATAAGTCCTGAGTACAAAGCCAGGAGTAACCCCTAAGCATTGCTGGGTGTGACCCATAAAGGAAAAAAATAGCTATGGATCTTCATCTAAGTGACTATTTTATTTCTAAAAACAAATATTTATTTTAACAGCATAAGGTATCTTAATTTTATGAGCACCCAGATTTATTTTATTATTAAGATTCTATCAGTTCTTATGTTACACATATAATTCAACTGCCTGAATCAAAACTTGAATATTGCTAAATGTATGCACATTTTTAGAAAGAACCAGACAAATAATGAATACAGGCAGTAGGGACAAAATATCGAAATATTTTGTGATATCACCACAAAATAAGTGGGTGAGAGAGAGAGAGTGAGAGAAAGACAGAAAGAAATTGATCTCAATGGAGGAAAAACTGGCTAAGAAGGTAGTATTCAAACTTGAGATCATTCTAGAGTAAGAAATTAGGCTTGGAAATATGATTCAAAAACTCTACCAATCTTAGATTACTTTCTTTTTAAATGTTTTTGAGTCATACCTGGGGATGCTCAGGAGTTACTTCTGGCTCTGTTCTTAGGAATCATCCTGCGCAGGGCTCAGGGGATGATATGGGATGCTGAGGATCGAACCCAGGTCAATTTGTGAACCCAGGTGTACAAAGCAAATGTTATACCCACTATATTATCACTCCAGTCCCAGGATTACGTTTTTGATTAGTATGGTACAAAAAAAAGTGGCCAAAATAGGCTCTCATGGACCAAGAAATTAGAGTAACCATGATAATGGACTGGTTAATAATAACATTATCCATATTTCTCTGGTGCTGGAGCGATACCATAGTGGGTATGATGTTTGCCTTGCACGTGGCTGACCTGGGTTTGATTTCTCCATATCTCTAGAAGAGCCCAGCAAGCTACCAAGAGTATCCTGGATCCACAGGGGGACAGTGCATTGATATTTCTCTAGATTCTCTAGTAAGAGCTGGGTCCTATTTGGATAACATCAAGTCTCCAGTATGTTTCTGAAACAAATAATAGCACTGTCTTCCCATTGTTCCTTGATTTGCTCGAGCGGGCACCATTGTGAGACTCCATTGTGAGACTGGTTCTTACTGTTTTTGGCATATCAAATATGCCACGGGTAGCTTGCCAGGCTTTGCCATGCGGGCTGGATACTCTCGGTAGAAACAAACAGTAAGAAAGGAAATTCCTGAGTACTCACCTGCGTCACATTGTTTTATTTCTAACTAAACATTCATGTTCACTTCTGACATGAAGGACACACACACATATTATGTATTTGGCCTACTGATGCCCTGGCTAGGCTTCCTCGACTACCTTTTCCATCTCTGTCTTCTTTAATAGGACCTAGAAAAAAAACAGTGCTCCAGGAACATTTGTTATGTTCAGTGGTAGCCCTTGGGTGTAGTAGTCTCTTAAAAAGTATATCTTACTAGAGGACACAGGTGTCTATTCATAAAATAGTCTTTTTTATTTCTGTATGACCTATCTAGGCTATTGTTGAATAGGTCAGGAAAGTTTGGTATAAAATACAAGTGTGTCTGATATTGAAATCAACATTTAATTTAGAATACTCCAATCTTTACATTTTCTGTTTGCTTTGTTAGTATGGTTTTCTCTTAAATGTTTACATGAACTTTGATTTTACCATTTATAGAGTTGAAATTAAATACCCCACTGGCAGACTTCCACTCTTGACACTACTTCCACTACCCAGCCGTCGCCACACTCCAGGACGCTTTCCGGCGGCCGCGCGACACATCATAAGACACTAAATACCTGTCTTCTGGAATTGTCGTACCATATTTGATAGGGTTCAAATATGGTAACACCTACAAGGGGGATTAGAGGTCACCCCAAAAGCCTCTATACCTCTCGGAAAGACTGGCAAGCTACCGAGAGTATTCCGCCCGCACAGAAGAGCCTGGCAAGCTATCCGCTGTGTATTCGATATGCCAAAACCAGTAACTACAACTGGTCTCATTCACTTCATGAACGATCGGTTTGAGGCCCTCCATGTTCCCGGAGCGAAGAGATGCCATTGGGCTACACTAGCACGCGACAGGGACAAATGGAGACGTTACTGGCGCCCGCTCGAGCAAATCGACGACTAACGGGAAGTTAAGTGATTAAGTGATTAAGTAAGAGTTGAAATGATTGATCAACCACAGTTTATCAGTATTTCTGAGTACAAATTGAACTGCATAGATTTAAAGTAAATAGAAAACATCTGGAAAGACCAGAAAAACACACATGTATATATAATTTGCCACCATTGAAAAAATTCACACTAGATTCTACTATGATTAATTATACTTTTCTAGGGAAAACATGAAAAAAGTATAAATAGCTTTTCTCCTGGTATCATTTGAAAAAAATCCAATTTCTTATTTTACATAAGACTGAAACTATTATAATTGAAATAATAAGACATTAAACAGTGATGATAGACCTTTCACTAATTTAATTTATTCTAATTTAGAATTCTGTTAAGTTCTTATTAATTTAACTGTATTTATTAAAAACAAAGTAAGAACAGAAGAACATATTTGCTTAAGTATGGTGAAGATGAATTATATTATCCATGACCATGTACAAAAAGGGAAAACATAAGAAATCTAAACATTTAAGACTAAACTCAAAAATATGAGTAATAGGCCTTCCTCCTGATATCCTATAAAAAAAAGTTTCTTATTTCACGTGCAGCAAAACTAGTATCATTGAAATAATAAGATTTTAAACAGAATGATCATGAGCCTTTATTAACTTCACTTAATTTAGGAGTATTTGAAATTATTTTATAATTTAACTTTGTTTATTAAATATAAAAGTAAGAACAAAAGAACACATTCACTTAAATATGATGAAAGTGCATTAAACTATCCATGACTGAAAATTAAGGGGGCATGTTTGAAATCTAAGGAGTTCTGTGGTCTTTGTGTATTCCAATAAAAAAACTAATTCTATTGTTTCAACTGGAAATTTTGTCCCCTATACAGATTTAGAAATTAAAGCTCATCACTTACTTTTGCTCAAAAATTGAGAGAGATTAGAAAGCAATTAGAAATTAATCCATTTCAGGAAGATTAATTTATATCGTTTTAAGTTGTATTTATTAAATAAAGTGTAATGAAATACAATATATAACGGTATTTTTATTACTATTGTCTGGAGTCCATAGAATCCATTTTATTTATGTTATAATGTTTTTCATTACATTAAATATATTAATAAAGGTATAAGTGGCTATACAGGAAACAAAATTTACTTATAAAATGAAATGAAGCCAGAACACTACTGTTTGTTTTAAAAAAGGAAAATAATTTGGGAATTAGGTCCACTCTTTTTATATCATTTAATGCAAGAGATCAAATCTAATATCTACTCTATTTAAAATATATATATTTCTGGGTCTGGGCCATGCTCCAACTTGCCCAGGGCTTACTCCTGACTCTGACTTAGAGATAGCTCCTGGTGGGCTTGCAAAATATATGTGAACCCGAGGATCCCAGCCAGGTCAACTGCGTGCAAGGCAAGCACTTCATCTACTGAGCTATCTCTCCAGCTCTATGTCTACCATATTTTTAGCAGTGGCATGAACATTGGGGGCTGGAGCAATAGCACAGCGGTAGGGCGTTTGCCTTACAAGCGGCCAACATGGCCGACCCGAGTTCGATTCCTCCGCCCCTCTCGGAGAGCCCGGCAAGCTACCGAGAGTATCTCGCCCACATGGCAGAGCCCAGAGCCTGGCAAGCTACCCGTGATGTATTCGATATGCTAAACACAGTAACAACAAGTCTCATGATGGAGATGTTACTGGGCCCGCTTGAGCAAATCGATGAACAATGGAAGGACCATGACCCTGACCATGAACATTGAAGAATATCAATCCTATAAAATGCTTTTCAATAGGGTCCATGCTCATAGTGCTGGAGAACGCCTGCTTTGGCAGAATTCAAGTGTGGGGGCGCTCCTTAGGGGTGCTCAAATATACTGCAGGTACTTTAGAGCTACACCACAAAAGCAATAGCTGAGATCTTTTTGTTTTCAATGTGTAGGACCACTCCTAAGAGTGGCGGGGTTCAAGGCTAGTCTATTAGATTGATTCTTGATACTTTTTTGCTCCAAGATGGACAGCGTGGCTCTCTTAGTGGTGCCAACTTGCTTTTCCACTTTTAATGCACTCTGATGGCCTTGATATTTGCTATTACAAAGTCACTAAATGATTACAATGTCTCAAAATGATTTTATCATATAAAGTTGTGACTCCCAATTAAAAATCCCTGACCTAGGGGCTGGAGCAATAGTACAGCTGGTAGGGCATTTGACTTTCATGTGGCCGACCTGGGTTTGATTCCCAGCATCCAATATGGTCCCCAGAGCACCACCAGGAGTAATTCCTGAGTACAATCCAGGAGTAATCTCTGTGCATCGCTGGTTGTGACCCATAAAGAAAAATAAAAATCCCTTACCTATATCTAGCTACTAATTTGAAAACTTGGAAATTTAAAAAAAAATTCTAGAATCTTAGGAATATTTATTTCACAATCTCATGTTGGAAAACTAGAGCCATATGCCAGGAATGTCAATATAATGGAGGCAAATAAAATACCCTCATATTATTAGC